GTTTATTCACTCTCATATTGATGGACAGCTGTGCTGTTTCATGTTTTTGGCTAGTATGAATAAAGCTGCTATGAATATTCTTGTTTTTTTTCCTTTTTCTTTTTTTTTTTTTTTTGAAATGGAGTTTTGCCCTTGTTGCCTGGGCTGGAGTGCAACGGTGTGATCTCACCTTGCTACAACTTTCGCCTCCTGGGTTCAAGCAATTCTCCTACCTCAGCCTCCCAAGTAGCTGGGATTACAGGCACGTACCACCTCGCCTGCCTACTCTTCTGTATTTTTACTAGAGTTCACCATGTTGGCCAGGTTGGTCTCAAACTCCTGATCTCAGGTGATCCACGCGCCTCAGCCTCCCAAAGTGCTGAGACTACAGGCATGAGCCACTATGCCCGTCCTCAGCCACCACGCCTGGCCTCTCAATGATATCTTAAGTCCTCCTGTGTGCCAGGCTCTGTATTAGGCCCTGGGGGTCAGCCCCTGCCATATTCCTTGCCCTTTTGAGTCTTATGTTCTAGGGAGACAGACTCTACATCTGTAAATGAATATGAAAAATAATTATGATCTACAGGAATTGGTAAGAAAGAGGTTACAGAGGCTGACGGGGTGGAGGAGAACCTGCTTGGGTAAGGTGGTCAGGCAAGTCTTCTCTGCAAAGACAACATTGCAGCTGATACTCAGAGGATGGTGAGCAGTCAGCCAGCCAGCCACAGCAGAGTGGGTAGGAAGGGAGGACTCAGGGCAGGAAGACTGCTTAGGAGCCTGTCACAATTGTCTAGCCAATAGTGGATGGTCTCTCGGGTGGGCTTGGTGGCTCGCACCTATAATCTCACCACTTTGGGAGGCTGAGGTGGGAGGATTGCTTAAGTCCAGGAGTTTGAGACCAGCCTGGACAACATAGTGTGACCCTACCTCTACAAAAAAATTTAAAAATGAAAACATCTCCAGGCATGGTGGTGTGTGCCTGTAGTCCCAGCGATTTGGGAGGCTGAGGTGGGAGGATCGCTTGGGCCCAGGATGTTGAGCCTGCAGTAAGCCATGACTGTGCCACTGCACTCCAGCCTGGGCTACAGAAAAAAAAAAAAAAAAAAAAAAAAAAGCAGATGGTCTTGAAGTGGGGCAGGGAGGAAGAAAGAGAAGGGGGAAACTGCCAGGACTGGGTGATTGGATGTTGGAGGAGAAGAGTGTCACCAGCTCAGGTATTTGGCTGATGTGATGGGCACTACATGTGCACACTGTGCACATCCGGGAAGATTAGACTGAGGAGGAGGGAAAGGTGAAGAGACAAGTTTGGCACCAGCTACCATGTGCATGAGCCTTGAGGACATTATGCCTAGTGAACTGGGCCAGGCACAGGGGCACGCACTATATGATTCCACTCATATGAGGACTTGTTATAGTCAAATCCAAACACAGAAGAATGGCGGCTGCCAGGGGCTGGGATGGAGAGCAGAGAACGGAGAAGTATGGTTTAATGGGCAGAGTTTCTGTTCTGCAAGATGAAAAACGTTGTGGGGATGAATGATGAGGATGGTTCCATAATAATGTGAATATATTTCATGCCCCTGAATGGTACATTTAAAAATGTTTAGGATGATGGTCAATTTTATAAGTATTTTTCCACAATTAAAAAAAAAAAAAAAAAGCTAAGTGTGGTAGCTCATACCTGTAATCTCAGCACTTTGGGAAGCCAAGGCAGGAGGATCTCTTAAGCCCAGGAGTTTGAGACAAGCCTGGGCAACATGGCCAAACCCCATCCTACAAAAAATAAAAAAATTAGCCAGGCATGGTGGCATGTGCCTGTAGTCCCAGCTGCTTGAGAGGCTGAGGTGGGAGGGATGCTTGAGCCTGGGTGGTCAAGCTGCTGTGAGCCGTGATCATGTCACTGCACTCATGCCTGGGCAACAGAGTGAGACCCTGTCTTGGGGAGATCAGAGCTGGAGTGGCCATTTGGTCCATTCAGTTCAAGCTGTGAGAGCAGGAGGGGTCGGCTCCCGATCCACCTCCGTGACCAGTTCTCCACCCGCAGCCCCAGCCACCCCTCCCCGACGTGCTGGTCTGGATGCTCAGTGGGCGGCGCCGCGTGGCCTGGGCCCGAATCCGTGCCCAGGATGTGCTGTTCTCTGTGGTCGAGGAGGAACGGGGCCGGGACTGTGGGAAGATCCAGAGTCTAATGCTCACGGTGAGGGGGCTTGCAGGTGAGGGGCCGGGAGAAGTGGAGTGGAGCTTACAGGGCAGGGGTGGGATAGGCCTTGGGTAGAGGCCTGTGCTTCCCAACTAGGGGCCCCTGAACGCTTTCCAATTGTCCAAAACACCAGAAAGGGATTGTGCCTTTGCCTGGGGCAGCTTTGAAATCAGATAAACCCCAAATCTTCCCAACTCTGGTTCTGCACAGGCCATTTTGCTGACTAGGCCCTGAGAGATAGGCAGCATACTAAAAACCGGAGAGTGCGTCTCACCCCTTACAAGTGTGGCTGGTCTGGCCGGGGGTAGTGGCTCATGCCTGTAGTCCCAGCCCTTTGGGAGGCTGAGACAAGCGGATCACCTGAGGTCAGGAGTTAGAGACCAGCCTGGCCAACATAGTGAAACCCCATCTCTAGTAAAAATACTAAAATTAGCTGGGCATGGTGGTGTATACCTGTCATTCTAGCTACTAGGGAGGCTGAGGCAGGAGAATCGCTTGAACACAGGAGGTAGAGGTTGCAGTGAGCAGAGATCATGCCATTGCACTCCAACCTGACAACAGAGTGAGACTCCATCAAAAAAAAAAAAAAAAAAAAAAAAGGGGAGCTGGTTTGCAGGCTAAAGATTTCTAAATGAGGTGTCCCTGGAAGAGATACCGAAAAGGGTCCCTAGCAGGGAGAAGCCGTGACCCTTGGGGTTGGGGATGGGGAATGTAAACGTGTGGAGGGTAGAGGGGACAAAGGTGGGAGAGCAGAGCTCAGAGTGTAGTTAGGGGGTGTGGGGTACAGGAAGTGGCAGTGTTAGGGCAAGACGTGTAGGGAGTGAGAGCACGAGGGTCATGGCGTAGGGTGGGGGGCAGAAAGAGGGTAAGGCTGGGCAGGTAGGGAGTGGACTGGGAGTTTGGCATTGTGTGGTGATGTGCAGTGGAGGTGTGTCCTGGGGAAGCAGGATTGCTAGGTCTAGCTGGGGTCATGAGAGGAGGCACTGGGGCCCTGACATGCCTTCTTCACATGCAGGCACCCGGGGCAGCCCCTGGTGAGGTCTGTGCCAAGCTGGAGCTCTTCCTGTGGCTCGGCCTGGGCAAGCAAGCCAAGGCCTGCACCTCTGAGTTGCCCCCGGATTTGCTGCCCGAGCCCTTGGTCGGACTGCCCTCCAGCCTACACCGGGACGGTGAGTGCAGAGGGTGGGCAGGGCAGGTATAAGGCCCACCTCGATCTCTGCCCAAGGTGGGGGGCTCAGTCAGGGGACTTCAGTGGTTCCCCTGAGCAAACATGATACCTTCCTTGCCCCTCACCCCAGACTTTAGCTACTTCCAACTCCGGGCTCACTTGTACCAGGCCCGAGGTGTGCTGGCAGCAGACGACAGTGGCCTCTCGGACCCCTTTGCTCGAGTCCTCATCTCTACCCAGTGCCAGACCACACGGGTGAGGGCTGGGATGACGTGTGGGTGGAAGGGACCCAGGAGACAAGTTAGGGTGGGTCTGAGCTTTCCCCCAAGGCCCCTCTCCTCCCAGCCTGGGTTTGCAGAGCAATGTATCAGGATGGGGTACTAGATGGCCCTAATTTAGCAGGTGATGTAGAACTGGAGGTCTCAGGAGTCGTTTTCTGGGGTTGACTTTAGGCCTGGACTTTGAGGGCAGCCAATTGCAATGGGTAGGCAGGGCTGGGAGGGGTCGGCTGCAACACCATCTGAAGATGCTTTCATCTTCTCACATCTCACTCTTCTTGTGACTAGCATTTACTTGAAGTATTCCTTCAGAGCAGAGGTGCTCACATGGCATGTGTGTTGGGAGCCTTCTCCTGATATCTGCTGCTACCCGCTTCTCTGGCCCCCAAGGTCCTGGAGCAGACGCTGAGCCCTCTGTGGGATGAACTCCTGGTATTTGAGCAGTTGATTGTGGACGGGAGGAGGGAGCATCTGCAGGAGGAGCCTCCATTAGTGATCATCAATGTCTTTGACCACAATAAGTTTGTGAGTGTGGCTTGGACCCTCCCTGGGTTCCCGGCCAGGAGTTTCCCCCTTGATGCCTACCTTCCCTGGCTCCTGAGCCTCTTCCCCTTTGTCTTCACTGCCCTGATCCCCCTAGGGCCCCCCTGTGTTCCTGGGCAGGGCACTGGCTGCCCCGAGGGTAAAGCTGATGGAGGACCCATACCAACGCCCAGAGCTTCAGTTCTTCCCCCTGAGGAAGGGACCACGGGCAGCCGGAGAGCTCATTGCTGTCTTTGAACTCATTGAACTGGACTACAGTGGCCGACTTGAGGTCAGCATGCCCTGGCATGGCTAGCACAGGCTGTTAGCCCAACTTGTTAGTCCATCAGGCCATCTAGCCCCAGGGAATATAAAACATAAGTGTGTCCCAGGACCAGCCTCCAGGTCTCTTATCCCCAGAGAACACAGACTGTAGGTTTGTCCTGAGGTCACCTCATTGGACCGCTTGACCCCAAGGAACATTGCAAGTATTCATGTGCTAGGTTCACCTTGTTGGGCCATCCTGCATGCCTCAGACACCCTGCTCCCTTCCTGCATGAAGCTGCTTCCCGAGACCCCCTCCCTTCAACCAATTCAACCTTGGTTGGTTCCCGAGCATTTATACTTCACCAGCACCTCTCCATATCCCCTCCCCACACCTAGGCTTTTCCTCCTTTGGCCTGATTCCTCTTTGCCATCTGACTGTTTCTCTCCTACAGCCCTCAGTGCCCAGTGATGTGGAGCCCCAGGATCTGGCACCCCTGGTCGAGCCCCACTCTGGACGCCTGTCCCTTCCACCCAATGTGTGCCCAGTGCTCAGGGAGTTCCGTATTGAGGTAGCATCAGGCACTCAAAGCCCCCTTGTTCCCCCACATCTGGGTTCCCATTTGTCTGGTGCAGGCCCCTGAATCTACACATCCTGACCCCAGGTGCTGTTCTGGGGTCTTAGGGGCCTTGGTCGTGTGCATCTGTTCGAGGTGGAGCAGCCCCAGGTTGTACTGGAGGTGGCTGGGCAACGTGTGGAGTCTGAGGTCCTGGCCAGCTACCGTGAGAGCCCCAATTTCACTGAGCTTGTCAGGCATCTGACAGTGGTGAGGCCATGGGCTAGGGGACAAGGGGGGCAGAATAATGAAAGAGGGCAGTGGATGGTGACTTTCTGTCTGGTTATCTTAGATGATCCAAGGGTCAGCCAACTCTCTATAATGGGCCAAATAGTAAATATTTTCGGCTTTGAGGGCCATCCAGTCTGCTGCAACTACTCAACTCTGCCATCAGAGCATGAAAACAGCCATAGATAATTGTAAATGAATATTTACAAAAACTGACAGCAGGTCAGACTCTGTCTATGGGCTGCAGTTTGCTGATTCCTGGATTAATTCATGGACTTGTGGTGCTCTCTAGGCGTTACTGTTATTCAGACCTCTTGAACAAGCCTCCTTGATTAGTTTCTGTCTATCTATTATTGAGAATAGGGTATTGAAATCTCCAACTATTACTAATGAATTGTGTATTTCTCTCTTCAATTCTATTACTTTTTTGTTTTTGTACTTTGAGGCTCTGTTGTTAGGTGCATATATGTTTATAATTGTTATATCTTCTAGATGAATTGACCTTTTACCATTATAGAATATCTCTTTGTCTCTGGTAATATTTTTTGTATTAAAGTCTGTTTTCTCTGGTGGTAAACTACTCCAGCTCTCTGATTACTATTTGCATGATACATTTTTTCCTATGCTTCATCCTTTATGTGTCTTTGAATCTAAAAAGTATCTCTTAGACAGCTTGGAGTTGCATCTCTTTTTTTAATCCAATTGACAATCTCTGTCTTTTGATTGGTATTTAATATGATCACATTTGATGCTATGATTGATATTATTGGTTGAATTTACATCTGCCATTTTGCTCTTTGTTTTCTATGTCTTGTGTATTTATTGTTTCTCTTTTACTGCTTTCTTTTGTGTTAAATAGATGTTTATTACATTTTTATATTAGTGTACTATTTTAATTTGTTGATTTTTACTTAGTAGTTGCTCTAGGGATTACAATATGCATACTACTATTTCACAATCTACTTCAGATTAATACTAATTTAATTCCAGTAAAATATACAAACTTTTCTGTGATATAGCTCTATTCTTCCTCTCTCTTTTGTGCTAAAATTGTCACATATATGTGTATATATGTATATATCTACAAATACATAAAATAAACCCATCAATACAGTAGTAAAATTGTTTCTCTTAGGATCCATTGATAGATACGGAATTCCATATATATATGGCCTTTAACCATAAAATGGCCTTTAACCATAAAATAAAATAAACCATAATACATATTTTAAGACAGAGTCTCACTCTGCCGC